AACGCTATATAACGAATACAAACAGCAAACTCGTCAGCAGCAGCAACAGTAGCAGCAGTAGCAGCAGCAGAAACAGCAGCAATAGGGGATACAGCATATCTTGCTGCTGCGGGGCTGCCCTGTTTAGCTGACTTCAACGAGTACACACACACACAAGGACGGGGGGCCAGATGGCCCCTCGATCACACACAGCTGTTGCTGTTGCTGCTGCTGGTGTTGCTGCTGCCCCTCCTGCTGCAGCAGCAGCTGCCGCTTGTGTCGCGGATACTTTCAGCAACTCCCACTTGTTCCTGCTTCTCTCCTGCGTTTGCAGCTGCTGCAGTTGCTCCGGCTGCTGCTGCTGCTGGAGACTCTGCTGGTAATGTGCCTGCTGATGAAAGACCAGAGTTGCTGCAGCTGCTGCAGCTCGACTTTCTCCAGGGTGTGGAGGGTCTCTTCTGTCCGCTGCTGCTCTTGCTGCTGCTGCACTTGCTGCCGCTGCTCTTGCTGCTTCTAGACTTGCTTCTGCTACAACGGTTTCGGTTGAGCTTGTCGCTGCTGCGGTTGATGCTGCTGCTTTTGCTGCTGGTGCAGCAGCAACAGCTGCTGCTACTGCCGCCACTACCTACCGCGGCTTCTGCTTTTTACGCATCTTCTCTGCTTGTATTGGCGTCAGCCAGTGTACGTGTATGAATGCGTGTACTTTGTTTGTTGTGTTGAGTGTATCTATCTCGTTTCTGCTTTCATCTTGCACTTGTTTTGAATTGCTTAGACTGCTGCTTGTCTCGCACGCGGCGCCGCAGCAGCAACGACGGTGAGTGGCCTGAGGTGCTCAGCAGGGAAGCGGCCGCAGTCTGTGGTCAGGGGCAGCAGCAGCATCGCCTTTCTCTTTTGCTGCTCCTCGCGTTTTTGTTCTGCTGCTTTCTCCTGCAGCCGCTGCATCTCCAACTCAATTCGCCGAATCAACGACAAACGAGAACCCGCAGCAGGCAAACTAAAACCAGAAACACCATCCGCTACCTCCTGCTGCTGCTGCTGCTGCTGCTGCTGCTGCTGCGCCAGTTCCTGCTGCTTTTGTTCGTGATGGGTTTGTTCGCTGGCGTCTTCTCCTCGCTGCTGTTGCTGCTCGTGTTTCTGCTGCTCTTGTTGGTGTTGCTGCTGCTGTTCTTGCTGCTGTTGCTGTTTCAGGAGTTGCAGTGCCTGACTGAGGTCACTGATTGCTGTTTCTGTTTCCTTGAGGGCAGCCCAGGCCAACCCCCTGCGGTGAAGGGTTTTGGGGTTGAGGGGAATTCGCTGGAGAGCAGCAGTGCAGTCGTCGACGCAGCTGCTGTACCTCTTCAGCTGAAACAAAGCAGCTGCGCGGTTTCCGTATAGCTGGCCAATCAACTCTTCTCCCGCTGCTACTGTTGATGCTGTTGTTGCTGCTGCGGTGTCACCTGCTGCTGATGCAGCAGCAGCAATG